TGGGGTGATTGGGGTGTGGCTGGGGTTGCTGGGCTTAGGGGGAGGGGGCTGTGGGGAACTGGGACCGCTGGTGTCGGTGTTGCTGGGCTAGGGGTGGTGGCATTGGGAAGGGCGGTGTTGGGGAGGATGGGAATACTGGTCTGGGCTGGAGAGCGGAGGGGCTGAGGTGCCTGGGGAGAGGGTGCAGGGGAGACTGGGCGTGGGAACTGGTGATACTGGCGTTAGGTTGGAGAGAGGGATGCTTGGGGGTGTTAGGATCAGGAGGAGGATGCTGGAGACTGCCGATGGTGGGGTGCACGTAGCAGGAGCTGGTGGTGCTGGGCCTGGGGGTGGTGTGGAGGCTGGTAGGACGGGAGGTGTGGGGACTGGGGAGTCAGATGTTTGAGGGTGATGGAGGTCGTGGGAGTCAGAGAACGATGGGGGTGTTGCAGGTGCTGAGATTGGGGTGCTTCTAGCAGAATTGGGGGAGTGCTGGAGAGGAGCAGGGAGTGCCCCTCTCGGTTGCTGTGGGAGACTGGGAATAGGCTGAGGTTGGAGAGTCTGCATGTACTGGGAATGCTGAGACTGAAGGTATAGGGGAAGGCCTGTGGGCTGGGCCTGGCAGGTAGGCTTACCCCCAGCTCCCTCTGTGTCCCCTCCCCAGATTGCAAAGGAGGTTGCGAAGCTGCTGGAGATGAAGGCGCAGCTGGGGGGAGATGAGGGGAAACACAAGTTTGTGCTCAAGACCCCGAAGGTAACTTCCCCCAGCACACGCACTCGCGTGCCGCTCTGTATGCACGACCTACTCCCATGCACACACAGAGCACCCCCCACGCACCTGTGTGTGCAAAATCCCAGCACCGACATGCCTGTCTTTCTTCTCATTTCTGTTTCCCTTTTTGCTTTTAGCAGCAGGGGAGAGAGGGGTGAAAACATCCCTGACAGCATCTGACCCAGATACCCTACTAACTTAAAGACTTTCTGGTGCTTCTGTGACAAGCCAACCACTAGCTGGTGTGGTCAGGAAATTAAATTCCCTTTTGGTCAAACTTTATCGTAGCTGCCCAGCGTGAGAGGTCTCATATCTGCTTGGATTGCGCTGTTTGAAGTGAGGTCATGACTTGCGTTGCCCCGATGAGTTTAGAGTTAGGACTCTTCAGCTCTCATAGCACTGACCCCACTAGTACCTGCAGACGTCGGCTTTCGTGGATCAAGGATCCTCAAGCTGGTCGTGTTCCCTGTTCACCTGGACAGAGTGGATGAAGCTGCTGGTAGGTCACATGAGCACAGTGCTGCGAAGTGCAGCTCTGCTGGTGCAAGGCTCATTGTGGGGGAGCTGCAAAGCGTAAGCCAGCAAAAGAAACCCAGATGCCCGGCAGCGTTTGCCAGGAACATTCAGCACGTGTTGAAATGTGGGGAGCAAGAAAGGTCTCACGGCTTTTGATCTTGCCTGAGTCTGTGAGGTGGGGAATCCCGTTTACTGAGCAGGTCTGGCCAGCTGCTGACATTTCTGTGTCCTCTTGCAGAAGGACCCTTCCTTCAGGGGTAGCTTTTCAGTCTCCAGGCCCCCGAGAACAGCGTCCATAATGCAATTTATGCTGACATTTTTTGTAACCTGAATGTTTCATCACTAGCAGGTGAACAGAGACCAACTGCGCTTCCGTGCTGTGGTGTGGAGATAGTTATGAATGTTGCTCACAGATAAAACAGGTTATGTTAATGCCACTGACTTAGGAAACGTCTCAAAACTGTCTCCCTTGTTCATTTCCTTTACTGTATGTTTCGGTAAATGTAATTGTGGTGTGAGACCTGGAAAGTGGAAGGGTATTTCACTGTTTAAAGATGTGGAGAGAGGATTTTGCAGCTCTGTGAGTGCCAGGGAAACACAGCTTGGGTTTCCAGTCTGTCTCAGCCACCTCAGTGTACTGCTGAAAGCTGCTCTTCGCTGTGTGACCTGCAGGTGGGGTGTTACGAAGTGCCTGCTCTCTCTGCTTCCTCCTGCCTAACTGCCAGTCCCTAGAAAATGAAAGTGGGAGGTCTAGTTTATTAACAGTGATTTAAGTGTTGCCGAGAGCCTGAAGACGGTCATTGAAATAATTCAGTGACTCTTAACAGCGAAGAAATTGAAAGGGAGCACATCCCAGTGAACAGTAGATGGGCACTTTGAAAAGACTATTTATCTGTGTGTGTGTTTGGAAATTGTAGAGCTGCTGGTTGTTCCACAGCTTCAAAGCGTGCCTGCCCTCTGATCCCACCTCTCAGGGTGGCTCGTTGTGCAGGGGTCTGGCTGATACGTCTGAATCAGTGCTGTGGACAGATCCTAGCTGCGCTGTCATGCTCGAAAGCACTGAACTCTCTGACTGGTGGATCTGTGTTTAGCTCCTTTGTTTCCTGCATCGTGAAACTCCTGACTTAGATTTAGCTCTGCAGACCGTGGCAGATCGTGCCTGAGCTGTGTCCTGATGTTTTCCAGTGTTTTTTGGTGCTGCTTTTTACCACCTCTACCAATATCTGGTGTCTGGACCTGATCTCTCTGGTTTTGTTAGCAATATGATAGCTTTTTCACATTGCCTCTCACGTCTGTCTCCACTGCATCCCTCTAACCCAATGTGTCCTTTGCTCTTCTTTTCCTTATCTCACCCCAGGGCACGCGGGACTACAGCCCCAAGCAAATGGCCATTCGTGAGAGAGTCTTCAATGCGATCATCACCTGCTTCAAGCGCCATGGAGCAGAAGTCATTGATACGCCGGTGTTTGAGCTGAAGGTGTGTGAGAACACAGCGGGTTGGCTGAGCTGATGGGGATCCTGCAGTTGAAAGCTTGCGATCTGTTGAGGGCCGAGTTTTCTTCTTCCACCTCCTAGGTGTCCTCCCTTTCTCTCCTTGTCTTCTGTGTGCTCTAGGGCTGATCCCCTGTCACTGAAGATGCTGTTTGTTCATGTGTCCTTTTGTTGTAGGAGACGCTGACAGGGAAATACGGTGAAGACTCGAAGCTCATCTACGATCTGAAAGATCAAGGAGGAGAGCTGCTGTCCCTGCGCTACGACCTGACAATATCCTGCACAGCCAGTGCTGAGGGGTCTTGTCACCTTTGCTGCCCTCCTTTTGGGGCAGTGCTGTCCAGAGGGCAAGGGAGGAGGAGGGAGGACAGTCTCTTGGCTCTGACCCCGTACCGACAGGGAGAGCGTGAGCAGGCAGTGTGGTTCAGTGGGTGCAGAACCCTTGCTCAGTTATTTACTGTATGTTGCTTCTGTTTGGTGAAGTAACGCTTGTATGTGGAGGTAAGGAAGATTGGTATTGAGTGGGGTTTCTCCTACAGCAGGGTACCCAGACTAGGCTGCTGCTGTACACAGCCTGCATGAGACTGAGATCCAGCCTAAGGTGGTGCTGGAGGATGCCTGTAGGGACACTTAATGGCAGCATGTGTTGGCCGTGTCTTGGACAGTTGTGGAGACCTTGGGGAGCTGCGGCAAGTCCAGCTGTCTCTTAGCAGTTGCTTTGCCCCACACTGTGCTGGGTGTTGGGGAGATAGTGAGGACTCAGCACTGCCTGTGACTGATAACTGGGTGGGGTGATCCCTCCCCGTTCCCATCCTTAACCCTACCGTCTCAGGTGCCCTTCGCTCGCTATTTGGCGATGAACAAGATCACCAACATTAAGCGCTACCACATCGCTAAGGTGTACAGGCGGGACAACCCGGCCATGACCAGGGGCCGCTACAGGGAGTTCTACCAGTGTGTGAGTTTGGCCATTTACAGGGACGCTGCTGAGCGAGTCTGTAGGCTGGGCAGCACTTGTGGGGTCGCAGCACCATAAAAACATAGGACCAAAGGCTGTGTTACCCTGCAGCAGCCTTCCCTGTGGCTGTGGAAAGCTTAGGACGATCCACTAACCTCCTTAGCGTGCCCTTATGGGTGTGAAAAACAGCTTGAGAGTGGGAGAGTGACGACAACGGCTGTGACACAGGGCGCTGGTGTATCGGGGAACTTTGTAATACAGCGCCCAGGTGCCCCAGGTATCTGGCCTCCTCACGCTGTGGAGGAGGGCGGCTCCTTGCTCCATCCCACGGTGCTTGCCAGCCTGGTGGAGGGGAAGAATTTCCTTCTGATCCCAAATCTGGCAGCAGTTGAACTCCTGGGT